TCTCGCTCATCATCTGACCTTGACAAATTTACCAAGCCCCTACAAACCAGAAGTAAAAAAAAAACATACACAGGCAAAGTATGAAAATTAACAGACTATACTGACAACTGCCTAATAAAACCATAGCTCCTTTGCTACTTCCAGTTGAGGAATGGATGGGGATTTTTGCCAAAGTTTGTTCCCACACTGTGCTTTGGGGCTATATATCTTTTATATCAGTGGTTCTCAACCTTTGGTACCTTATGTACCACCTGCTGATCGACGTGACAAAAGCAAAACCAGAAGTCCCACCTTAGCACTTCCGGTTTTGCCGCTGTGAGCCAAGTCTCATATTATACTCACAGACCATGGCCTGAGGCAAAGCAGCCTGCGTAGGGCCCCCTTTTCTGTCCCCTGGCATACTGACGCTGGGGAGTGAAAGCCCCGGAGCACTGGATATGGTGGGAGGGGCAGCAGCTGGAACTTCTAACCTGAACAGACAGAGACGCCTCCAACCTGCAGGGCGGGCAGGGCAAGCCCCTGCCCATGTCTTGCGTACCCCCAGGGGTGCATGTGCCACAGGGTTGAGAAACACTGTTTTATATGTTTCAAACTAGAAGAGTTTCTATAAATGTGAATCTATTCTCTTCTTGCTAGAAAGAGATTTTTCTCTCTTTTCTGTTCCAATTTCATGTCTCCTGCAAGTTGTAGAACACAGGCGTTTGACTTAACTCTCTCTTGGCTTCTGGTTTTGGAGGTCCAAATGAGAAAAGCTTTTGGAAAGATCATAAAGGAAAGAAAAAAATGTTCAAATGATATATGAAAAAGTCTAAAACTTTCATCAAAATTGCCAAATTAAATAGTTTCCTTTGCAAGATCCAAGAGTTCAGGTTTAATTAACTGCAAGATACCCCCCACCCAAATTAGTGAACAGAAGTAAGATTTCAGTTCTGCATTTTGGGTGATAAGGGAAGAAATTCTCCTGACTGCAGAATTTCAGTGGAACCACTACACAACATCTGCTATAACTTCAGAAGTCCAATAGTCCCTGTGGTGGATATGCTCCCTCTTTGTGTAATAACTTGGCTGTGTGCCTATCCCAGCCCACATTTCCCCATCCTCCAGTCTGGGAAAGTTAGTGTTTTTGGGACATTCTAAACATTAAAGGTCTCTCTTTATCCCAAACTGTGCATAGGCAGAGCAGTAGCCAAGTAGATTTATGCACCACCTCTTCTCACCTGTTGCTGTGCAGACTTGGTAGGGTCATTTTTAGGGAGGAGAGAATACTTGAGGTTACACATCCATTTAATAACTGGACTGTGCCAAATCATCAATGAAGGTGCCAACTGGGAGTAGGAGTGCAACTTGATGTGTCCCACAGACAGCCAAAAAGAATGTCCTAATCCAAGACAATCTTTTTTCCCCCTAAGATATTTCAACTGCAGTTCAGTGAACAAGAAAATTCCTTTTTCCAATTCTCAAAGAGCTAGTGGAAAGAATACCTCCTTTGCTCTACTTCACTGATAAAAAAAAGAAAAAACCTTTCTTACACAAATTCTCATGTCTGAAGAGGCATAGCAGGAGTACATTATGGTTAGTCTGTATGCTAAGCCATGCTTGTTTTCAAACAGCAGGTTTTTTTGATTCACTAGGAACCTGATTTGACTGAGACAGCTACTGTCGTCGGCTCTTATGTTTCCACTTTTTTCCCCCAACTTTTAGGTAAATAAAATTCATTCAAATGTTTTGTGAGTTCTTCCACAGGACTTTTTACTGTAAAATCAATACTTTGCACATGAACATATTTAATTTTGTCATTGATAAAAAAAATAGCTTGTCTTTATCATTCTCGTATTTTGAGGCATATAATGGGATTCTTTTTCACGAAATATATACTTTTGTTTATAATTTTTATTATAAAAATCAAATGTTCTCACTTATCAATATGCCCATGAATAAACTAGTGGAGTTTAGCCCACTGCATGAATAAGTAGTATAGTCATAACCCTGCCAAGTATTACCTGTGAGTGAAAAATACTCAAAAATAAAGCAGCAGCTTACTACAGCAAAAAGTAAGCTCTGAAAGAGTAAAAAGCAGGGCAGCAAATGGCATTTGATACCCAGATGTACAGAGAGCCCAAACCAAACTCTCACTGACATCAGTGGAAACTTTGCCCGTGGCCACATTTCTGCAAATGGATCTTTACCAGCAAGGATTCACACAACAGTGTTTGTATCAGGCCAAAAACTCTTTTTAAGCACAACTTGTAATGTTGCTCATGCATAATTTTTGGTATTTTTCTAAAATGGTCCAACTCTGACTATTATTTGTTATATGAAACTCTCAGTTTTTTGGTTGCGGAGATAAGCTCAAAACAAGAATGCAAGCAAAACTCCCCCAAATTTATCAAGTACCTTGTTTTATAGCAGCCTCATGACTTTTATACCAACCTCATGACTTTTAGGGACCTGACTCATGAATATTTTATACACGTGCCAGAATGCTATTTCACAACCCAATCCCTGTAAATAACACAGTTTACTGTGGACCTTCTGGTCTCACGACTCATAAACTACATTGAACTATTTTGAGCAAATAAAATAAACTACCTTTTTTAAACTGCAGAGACACTTTATTGTTTCCAAGAATTGTCCAAATAGCCAATAATTTTAGCTTAATTTCAGCTCAGTAAAGAATATTGTTCCACTTTCAGAACCCCTCCTTGCAAACCTACAAATTTACATTAATTAATTTTACTCATGCATACAAATCTTTGAAGGACTGGACCCTTGATCTCCCTACATACATAACTCAGGTCTCTGTCTCCCTGTCACATATGCAACAGTGAACATTACTTTTCTTCCCTGCAACTCTTCATGATCCTGTGTGGGAGTAGTACTCATAACAAGACCAAACTCTATCTGGGATGTGGAAGCAAGTTAAAGACAATTGGTAAAAACTGGGCCAAAAAGAAATGGTGATGAGACAGAGATTTGAAATAGGGTGGGCTGAAAGGACAATGTCATCTTGATTTTTTTTAAACTGATTAGCATGAAATATCTAACTGTCTTACAGAACAGAACTTCAAAATCGTATGGCAATATTTTCTCTTAATCTTATAGATGTTGGTAGACTTTGCATTGCCCTGCAGAAATGTAGACCAGATTTTTTAACTGTTCTAAAAGAAACACTAAACATCAGGACTGGCTATTTCTCAAGGAATTTTTTTCCATCTTTTATTGAAAAAAAAAAAGGAATTAAAACCTTAGGGGGGAAAACAATTGTTTTGGTATAAAAATTCTAACTTTCTCTTACTTTGCTTTCCCATCCTGTCTTATAAGTTCTCCACTGAAAAAAGGGAGGGATAAGTATTTTAAAAAGAGGGTGGGGGATGAGGTGGAGGAAACACTCTTTTATCTTTTTCTCCTGGAAAAGCATGAAAACTTAAAACGAAAACAGCCAAGGAGTGTTCTGCACAGAGGCTTGCCTGCTACCTCTTTTGCAACCGCCTTGAGACGTAAACACCCATTTGCAGCGCTTGTGGGAGAACAGGCACATGATCTGCCCAGAGCACTGCACCAGAGTGATGTCACTGTGCAAGTGCAAGAGACAAGAGGTCAAAATGACTGCTAACAAAACAGTGATGCTAACTATACCCCCCATTCAAGGCATATACATTTAATCTCTCTTTTACAGGAATCCCTAGGTACCACAGCATATGTGTTTCTAAACAGTAATATGTTTAGTGCACATCAAAACTTTGATGCCTTTTGACAGTATTATCAAACTTAAGTCTTAATATATCGAGTCAGGCCCAGAGCTATCATGAGACTGTAAAGCTGTGTTTCTTTCTGCTTTCCAGTGCTTAGGGTCACCTTTTCAAGATTGTTTTCTACAATTAGGAGGAACATTTGGGGAACATTTTTTTTGTTTGCTTTTTTCTGCATGAAAACTGAGATTCCCGTCCGAACTCTTGATTTCCACAGCTGGGCCTTAAAAAACACCTAACAATGTAAAACTTGCAACTCTGTTATAAGAACTGGGAATAATGCTTCAAATAAATCTGTTGAAACTGGAGAAAAAAACAGTTAAGAGAAGGACTTAGCAAAGATTCAAAGATTGTCTGGGCTCAAATGTGAAGACAAAATATCTTCATTTTCTCCCCATCAAAGAGACTTTTGCAGTGAGCTCCAACTCTATTTTATGTACTTGTTATTCAGTACAGTGGCCATCACAAAGCAACCAGGTCAGTGCTTCTCAACCTTTGTGAGGCTTATGGTCTCACTCAGCAAATATCAGCTCTTCGTTTTCACTCATTTTTTTTACTATGAAAAGGTAACAGAGAAGCTGTTCTGTTGCAAAGGCCTTGAGCAGACCATACCTGGTTGCCATGTTTCTAACACTGTAGATGTCTATTGGAAATCTCTAGTTTACTGTATGAAAAATGTTTGCACAACTACCAGCACTAACACTGAGTGGCACCTGGCAGCTCTCTTGAAAGGATCTCAGGGCACCCCAGGGTGCTGCAGCTCCATTACTGAGTATCGCTGACCTCGGTGCTCATACAACTGGAAAGGAAAAATCTACCCAAGTCTGAAATGCTGTTGTGCTCTCAGGGCAAACAATTTTGTTTTGCTTCCACATAACGTTTATTAGGCCCCTGCTCCACGACATATATTATGCCATCAATTAGTGAATCACGGCATGAATTCAGACTAGCCACATGTGCAAAATAATTAATCCCACGATAATGGCCCTCCAGCTATCAAAAGGGCTGACAAGCTACAAGGTTAGTGCTTTGAAACGTGTACCAGTGCTCCAGCTGGTTTCTACCCACCTTCCATTTGAACGTGTAGCAGGGCCCTTAGGGCCACACTGGGGAGCACTTTTAGGCCCTGACCACAGCCCCGGGCCAGGCCAATGCCCCGGGCCAGTGACGCCCCGTCTGGCAACTGGTGTGAACTCTTTGATGCCCAGTGGCCCTAAGCAGCACTGAGAGAGGAGAGGAGAGCAGAGGAAGGGAGTCCTAGACGAGGCGCTGCGCCCAAGCGGCTCCGGGGGCCAGAGCTGAGCGCCCCGGGGTGACACTTACCCAGGCCCAGCACAGGGATGCTGAGGCCGTTGGCGAGCGGCAGCGCTAGTCCGCCCCGCGCGCGGGAGGCCACGAGGCGCCGCGGCCACCCGCGCAGCCGCGGCACCATCCACCACCTCGGCCCGGCCCTGCCCCCTCCGCAGAGGAGCCCGTGCCCGCCCCGGCCCGGCTCCTGCCCCCGGCCCTTGTCGCAAAACGTCGCAAAGCGGCAGGTTCGCACCGGCCCGGCGGGACCACGGTTCGTGCGGGACCGGGGCGGCCTGAGGGGCCGGGGGTGGCGACCGGGCTCGGCTCGGGGGGCTACCCTGCCCTGCCCTGCAGCTATGCGGGCGGGGGCAGCGGGGCGGGAGGGGTTATACACACCTCGGGTGCGATACACGCGCTTTTTATATAATAGCATGTTTTATGTAGAGAGAAAGAGATATAAAACATGCCTTAGATAAACGTCCATGTTATATGCATAATACTTTGTACCAGATAGGATGCTATAGATCGTGTGTAATGGACGTTATGCATATGTGTTTCATATATACATAATGTATATTACATGCTATATAATGTGCATGAAATATATAATATTTATATACACACGTACACACATGCACATAGACATGTAGACAGGCATGAACGTGTGTGTGTGTGTGTGTGTATGCGTGTGTGTATACATGTGCATGTGTACACATATATATACACACATACTGCATGTAAAATGCCTGCCTAGATATGGTAGAATCAATAATAGTTCATATACTTCAGTTGTATGGCATAAAATTTGATATACTGCATGTAGTATATATATAACCTGCAACCTACACAAGAATAGAGAGAGAGAGAGAGATGTGCATATCTTTCTCTATATATTTTGTGTATATATGTATATGTACGCGTGTGTATATGAACATATATGTATATATGTATATGTGCGTGCTTGTGTCCATGTGTCTGTATGTGCATGTGTACACACATGCACACACTTTTATATAGGAAGATAAAGCTGCAGCTCCATTGCAGCCCCAAGGTGGGCTGTTGGATTATTATGGGGAGAGAGGAAAACAGGGATAGCACTGGGGG